CCACACAGCCAAGATGACCTTCAAGATGCCCACGTGTTCCCTTCGGGGAACACATGGTCCGATAGCTTGGCAGGTCTGGCCTCAACGTTCGGCCACATAGGCGCTTCCAAAAAGGCAGGGGGCGGCGGTGATTCGCCGTAGGCGTCGTCGATCCGCCGACCCCTGTCGATTCATCGCAGGGGTGCCTGGCGTGCTGAATCCTTTCGGTATGGGTTTTGGTTCTTTTTCCAAAAAACTCCCCTTGGGCCTCCGGCGCGTTCCGCCAGCCACCCGAAAAGAACCTCAATCCCAAATGGTTCGCTCAAGATGGCCCAAGATGGCCTCCAAAATGCCTCCAAGACGGCCACGATGGCCTCCACGTCGGCTAAGATGGCCCAAAAATGCCTCCAAGACGGCCCAAGATGCACCCAGGACGGCCTACGATAGCCTCAAGATGGCCTCCAAGACAGCCCTGGAGCCCCCTAAGAGGTCTCCAAGACAGCCCAACAGGCCTCCAAGAGGTCCTCCAGGAAGGCCCGAAGAGGCCAAAATAATTTTTGTCCCTAGTCTTTTGAAGCATTTGGGCATTTTCGCCTTTTCGGCCTTCCGACGACCCAAGAGGCCCCTCAGATCGCCCAAGAGGTCTCCAAGATGGCCCCATGACGGCCAAAAATGCTCCCAAGACGCCCCCAAGAGGGCCCCAAGACGGCCCAAGAGGCCTCCAAGACGCCTAAGATGCCACAAAGACGGCTAAAATGGCCCCAAGATGTCTACAACACGCTCTGGCCCACCTGTCGGCCACAAAGGCGCTTCCAAAGGGGCAGGGGGCGGCGGTGATTCGCCGTAGGCGTCTTCGATCCGCCGACCCCTATTGATTCATCACAGGGGTGCCTGGCGTGCTGAACACTTTCGGTATTGGTTTTGGTCCTTTTTCCAAAAGAACTCCCCCTGGCGCTTCGGCCCAGCCCGCCGGGGTCGTCCAGGAAAAGACCGGAAACTGCACATTTCAATGCCTGTCTCGCTCCAAGATTGCCCAAGATTGCCTCCAAGACGGCTCAGATGGCCGGAAATGGCCCTCAAGTTCGCCTAAGATGGTCGAAGATGACTTCCAAGACGGCCCAAGAGAGCCCAAGATACCTTCAAGTACGCCCACGAAGCCTCCAAGGCGGCCCACGACGGCCCAAGAGGCCTCCAAGACGTCCTCCAGGAGGGCCCGAAGAGGCCAAGTTCATTGATTGTCCGTAGGTTTTTGAAGGATTTGGGCATTTGTTTCTTCTCGGCATTCCGACGGCTCAAGACGGCCCAAGAGGCCCCCAAGATCGCTCCAAAATCACCTACGAGGCCTTCAAGGTGGCCCCATGACGGCCCAAGAGGCTCCCAAGACGGCCCCAAGAGGGCCTAAAGAGGCCTCCAAGACGGCCAAGATGGCCTCCAAGACGGCTAAGATGGCCCCAAGATGCCTTCAAGACGGCCCAAAATGCACCGAAGACGGCCCAAGATGGCGTCAAGATGGCCCAAGACGGCCCAAGAGGCCCCTAAGAGGCCTCTCAGACGGCCCAAGAGGCCTCCAAGAAGTCTTCCAGGAGGACCCGAAGAGGCCAAAATCATTGATTGTCCCCAGGTTTTTGAAGGATTTGGGTATTTGCTCTTTTTTGGCATTCCGACTGCCCAAGACAGCCCAAGAGGCCCCCAAGATCGCCCAAAGGTCGCCCACGAGGCCTCCAAGATGACGGCCCAAGAGGCCCGACGGACGGCCCCAAGAGGCCCCCGAGACAGCCCAAATGGGCTCCAAGACTGCTAAGATGGCCCCAAGATGCACCCAAAACGGCCCAAGATGGCCTCAAGATGGCCCAAGACGGCCCAAGAGGCCCCCAAGAGGCCTCCAAGACGGCCAAAAACGCCTCCAAGAGATCCTCCAGGAAGGTCCGAAGACGCCAAAATCATTGATGTTCTTTACGCTATTTTCCGGAATTGTAGCATTTACGCCTTTTCGGCCTTCCGACGGCCCAAGACGGCCCAAGACGGCCCAAGAGGCCCCCAAGATCGCACCAGGATCGCCCAAGAGTCCTCCAAAATGGCCCCATAACGGCCCAAGAAACCCCCAAGACGGCCCCAAGAGGGCCCCAAGACGGCCCAAGAGGCCTCCAAAATGCCCAAGATGGTCTCCAAGACGGCCCGAAGCGCCCCAAGAGGGCCCATTGTCGGCTCAGAGAGGCCCCAAGAGGTTTCAAGATGGCCTCCAAGACGGCCAAGATGGCCTCCAAGACGGCTAAGATGGCCCCAAGATGCCTTCAAGACGGCCCAAGATGCACCCAAGACGGCCCAAGATGGCGTCAAGATGACCCAAGACGGCCCAAGAAGCCCCTAAGAGGCCTCCCAGACGGCCCAAGAGGCCTCCAAGAGTTCCGCCAGGAAGGCCCGAAGAGGCCAAAATCATTGATTTGCCTGAGGCTTCAAAAGATTTTGGCATTTGCGCCTTGTCGGCCTTCCGACGGCCCAAGACGGCCCAAGAGGCCCCCAAGGTCGCCCCAAGATCGCCCAAGAGGCCTCCAAGATGGCCGCATGACGGCCCAAGAGGCCCCCAAGACGGCGACCTCCAAGACGTCCAAGATACTCTCCGAGACGGCCCTGAAGCGCCCCAAGAGAGCCCCAAGTCGGTTCAGAGAGGCCCCCAAGACGGCTTCCGACGGTGTCAGACAGGTCGGGAACGCCCTAAGATGGCCAACGAGGCCCTCGAGAAGCTCCCAAAGGCTCCCAAGAAGCCCCCAAGAGGCCCAGGGAGGCTCCCAAGAGGCCTCCAAAAGGCTCCCAGGAAGCTCCGCAGAGGCTTCCCAAGAGGCAAGACGGTTCCCAAGAAGTCTCCTCCTCCTACTCCTCCCCCTTCCCCATCATCCTCATCCTCATCCTCATCCTCATCCTCATCCTCCCTCCTGATCATCATCCTCTTCCCTCTCCTGATCCTCCTCCTATTGCTCCCCCACGCGTTCCCCGAAGGCTTCCCAAACCGACTCGGGAAACAACTGACACGATAGCTTGGCCAAGCTCTAGCCCAGCTGTCGGCCACAGAGGCGCTTCCAAAGGGGCAGGGGGCGGCGGTGACTCGCCGTAGGCGTCTTCGACAACGCCAACGTCTCAATACGCGCTGATGATTCCTGTCTGCCCCCGCATGATGTTCCCAGAGGTGCCAAGGCAGCGCCGAGACGCACCGACGCGACTCTGAGATATCCCATTATGATATAGAGGGGGCCGGCGGCAGGGGGGCGAAGCCCTTGCGGATTAAAATGCGATCCAATTTCCAGCGCGCGTGCGCGCGCCCGCGCGCTGCAAGTCTGGCATGTCCTGTCCAGGAGTTGCAGCGATGGAGCCGGGAGCCACAAAAGACGACGCACGCGCACGGTCCCGTAACTACATGAATATACCCGCCCCAGAATGAGGAAGAGGTGCCCATACCGCTACTCTTCCCTCGTGTTCGTATTTTTGGGCCTCCTGGGAGGCCCTCGTCGCCACCGGTGGATTCGCCCCGAAATTCTGGTCCTGCCTGGGAGAGGTCCGGGGAGCAGCGGCAGTCATCGGTAAATGTTTGGGCTTCCCCACAGATCCCCCGCCCCCAGCTTGCGTGGCCGCCCTCGTGCCACGAGCGCTCGCGCAGCGCGCTCCCTCGAAGCCCGTGTGAAGTCACGTGCGCGCACTTCGTCTTTGCGCTCCTGCTGGAGGGGGGGCCCGAGAACAGCGGGGCCTGAGCCCTGGGGCTTCCCACGCGGCCAGCTTTTCGTCCCGAGTCGCGCTCGGAGGGTCCCCGGGGGCCAAGGAAGGGGCCCGGGGAAGCCCAGAGCGGTGAAGACACCCAGGGCTTCATGAGGAGCCTGCTGTCATCCATCCAGGCGGATGCCTCTGTCAATCCAAGCCCTATCCCGAAGTGCATGATTGCTTACAGCTGTGCTGGGCTGATGGAGTGGCCACCGCCTGAGCCATGGAAGAACCTAGGAACAGTCGTGCAGCCCCTGGCCAACAAGCCCAAAAACTGACGCAAGACGGACTCTGAATTCCCCACGAGGCCGGGGTCTGCACGGCTCTTCCTGGCCACCTCCCCAGAAATCCTTCGTCACGACAAACTCGAGACGGCCGCCCTTTTCTTTGCTTGGGGCTCTGGGGACGGACCTCGAGCCCTGGGAACCGTCGAAAAACTGGCTGGCAAAAAAGAACTGTTCCCGGGATGGAGCCGAGAGGTTCGGGAGCGCAAGTCGCGAAAAATCGTGACGCCAGATGACTGGGCCTGGACCCTCAACGCGGCACTGTGCGACCGCAGGGCAAGCGGCGAGGCGCGCCTCACTCCGCACAGGCCAGCTTCAGAGCCACGCCGGCGTCAGAGAATGCAACACCTCGAGTCGCTCTCCTCAAAAGAGCCAGGTTCGCTCTCCGTGTACGTCGAGTACGTCGAGCCTGGACCGTGGTGGTATCCCCTCGCAGTACACCTGCTGCTGCAGGTGCTCTCCTCGTCGTGGAGTCTACGGATCTCATGATCGTAGCATCTCCGCAGCTCTTCGCCGCAGCCGCCGCACGAGAGCAGGCCCTGCCATGTCTGCTGCCTGCGGATGCGCGACCACACATCGCGGTGGGCCTGCGTGAACTCCACCACCTCCCCGACGACGCAGCAAGTGTCATCGCGCTTGCCACCCTTGCCGATTGGCGCGTTCGGGTACTCGCCCCTGTAGTTCGGCTGAGTCTTGCGGTGGCACTCCGAGACGATGCGCATCGCGACCTGCTTGAGCAGCGCGGGCGGTGTGGGCATGAACTTCCCGCCCTCGCGCCACGCGGGCAGCATCTCGTTGCAGATGTCGATGACCTCTTCCAAGAAGAGGTTGTCGAAGACACCATCGCTCCCCATCACGACCACGTCGCCCTCGTAGATGGAGACACAGTGGACCGCGCTGCCCTTCTCGATCACCTCGATGGCTACTTCTTCGTCGAAGTTGGGGTCTATCCGATCGTCAAGACGACTAAGCTGCAGTGGGCACTGCGCGTTACCATCGATGCGCTGCATCTCGGTATCCGCCAGCACCCTTGCGGGGCTGCCACAAAGCGCGGCACGGGAATATTCTCGACTACTTTGTGTACACCAGGACTTCCTGCAAGCTGGTCGCCATGGACGTCTGACGAACACACTCCAGAAAGTAAGGAGGACTCGAAGCGGCGCGTGTGGCAAGTGAGAGCTAATCGTTGCTGATCGCGTAAAGCCGAAGGCCCCTAGAAGTCAGATCAGGCTTATCCTGCATCAGCCCCTGGTGATTCGTGTCCACGCAGGTCGCCCGAGCCCTATGTCATTGTCTCATAAGCCCCTGACTTCTGTCCATGATGCCTCGATGATGACACCCAAAGGCCCAAGATGTCCCTGAGATCGTCCAAGGTGACTTGACCAAGTCCCAAGCTGGCCCCAAGGTACCATGCAAAGACCCCATGATTGCCCCAAGAGGCCCCAAGACTGCCCCGAAGGTCTCCAAAGGTGGTCCATTGAGGCCCCAAGATGGCCGGGCATCGTCACAACAAAACTCTAAGGTGGTGGCCCCAGAAAGCCCCCTCTCTTAAGCGGCTCGCCCCCTTTTACCCCGCCAGGTATGACACAACGCTGCGACTCGTTGCCCAACAAGTCCTCGAGTTGACCCCCCAAACTGCCAAAGCGCTTTTCCAACCTGACTGCCCCCAAGTCGACTACCCCCGAGCCACGCATCCATTGGAGGAAAGGCTGGCGGCAGAGAGCGAGGCCCTTCAGATGGAAGACTGTCTCGAAGAGCTCCTGGCCCTTCAGACGGCGCAGCACGAGCAGCTCGCAGTCCCCCACCGAGAGCACGGCGATCATCGGATGGAGCTTCCCGTGGATCCGGGTGCTGTTGTCCAGGATGGCCAGGAGCGCCGTCGTGGACCCGTAGCTCTCCGTGGCCTCGTAGGCATCCCTCATCAAGGGGATGGGACCCCGGTACGTGCCGTCCAGCTTCGCGCTCTTGTCCGGGAGGAGCTGTGCCATCGCGAGCTCCTCGCAGCACCTCAGGAGCTCGTTGGGGAGCTCCGACGCATCGAGGCCGAAGTCCTCTATCTGCGAGACGCCGTCGGCGACGCCCAGCATCAT